TATTGCAGGCTAATAATAAAAAACATCAGAAGCAGAACAATATCTTGGGCACAGAAAGACTTTTAGATAACAATAAAGAAGGTAGAAGGAAAGGGTCAAACTCTCAACAGTGCTGTTTCTTATGGAAAAGGATGGACAACAAAACAGATCTGAATCTTTTGGGAGGTTATCTAAAAATAATATCAGACAGAATTGCAAGGGGGGGAGTATTAAATTATTGAATTAGAGCCCTCAAACAAGACTCAAAGGTAGAATGAGCTAAACCTTTAAAAAACAGGAAAGTAAATTCAACTGACTATCCCTAACAAAGGGATATTCTGACTCTTGGTGATTCTGTGGGCCAGAACTCTCCATCTCATCCAATCTTGCACTACTTTGAGTTGGTGGTGTCAGCTTTGATGATGTCCAGGCACTGTGTTCTTTGACAACCTGTTTTCCTTTTGCTGCTAACTCTTCCCAACATAATTGCTTTCTCCAGTGAATTTCTCAGCCTGACATGGCCAAATAAGTGAGACACAGTTTCATGATTTTGCCTTCTAATAACAAGCCTGGTGTTATGCACTCAGGCACTTGCTTATTAGTCACTTTTGCTGTCCAAGGAACATGCAGGCGTCTCCTCCAGCACCACAGCTCAAATGAAGTGATTTTCCTCCTGTCTTGCTTTTTTTTAAGATCCAACTTTCATAACCATAGGTAATTACAGTGAACACAATGGAGCAGACTAACCTACATTTGGTTGCCAGTCTAAGATATATTAATTTCCGATTGTACAAACTCACTATACAGACATGATAGGCATTGCTGTAATGATCTTGGACTTTTTAGCAGTTGCTTGACTTCTATGTGTAAACCAGTTGGAGATGAAGTCAATGTACTAATCTTTTTTCAAAATTCAGCTTTTTCTCTTCTTAGCATTATAGATAGCCTGATTTCCAAGCTTCTTTTCACTTCTCCACATGTCAGAAGAGAAAGTATCAATCACTTTCCTTTCCATGGTTGGCACTTCTAGGACATGGGGGGGAGGTTGTAAACATTTTGTTAATTTTCTAGTGTTACAATCATTGTTGTTGTTAGTTGCGAAGTCATGTCCCATCCATCGCAACCCAATGGACCACGTTTCTCCAGGCCTTCCTGTCCTCTGCCATCTTCTGGAGTCCATTTAAGCTCACGCCTACTGCTTCAGTGACTCCATCCAGCCACCTCATTCTCTGTCGTCCCCTTCTTCTCTTGCCCTCCATCTTTCCCAGCATCAGGCTCTTCTCCAGCGAGTCCTTCCTTCTCATTAGGTGGCCAAAGTACTTGAGTTTCAGCTTCAGGATCTGGCCTTCTAAAGAGCAGTCAGGGTTGATCTCCTCTAGGACTGACCGGTTGGATTGCCTTGCAGTCCAAGAGACTCGCAATTACAATCATAATACTTAATAAACAACATGTTGTCTGGGTCCATTGTTAATTTAGTGGTACATATGAACTTTCTCAGTTTGGTTCCAATACTACATCATCCAGTGCTTCCTTGATCTCTCTTCTTCCTGTGCTACACATTTTTCCACACTGGGCAAATACAAGAGAACCACCTGTCCATTTTGAGTCTCTCTTGGATCAAGTCCAGCTACTGCATCACAGCAATATCCACCGTTTACATAAGACATTGGCAGATAAGGTGATCAATATGTCTGCGACGGGGTTTGCAAAGGCTTCTTTGTGTTCAGTTCTTTTTTTTTTAAAAAAAGAACTCATCTTTATTTAAAAAAGAAGGCTCCTGTTTAGACAAATAAGCTCTTTTCTCTATGTATACTGGGGGTGAGTTTTGCCTCGGATTTTCTTCATCAAACTATCCTTGTGCTTTCCTGGCCTTCAGTATGCTATAGCTTAGGGATGGAGAGACAGGATAAGGGACCCATCCTGAACTGCAGGGCTTATATCACGAATGCAAGGATGGTTAGCCAGTTTTTATGGTCTCCATGTGAAATTGGTTTCTGGTGCAGTCTTTCCTTCCCCACCACCTCAAGGTTGTAGACTTTGCTGTTCTCTTATCAATGGACTCTTCTCCAAAGTTTTAGCCAGCCAAGAATTCTCCTTTTCCTAAAAAGCTGAGCTTTACCCCTTTCTTCATCCAACCGTCCACCATGCTGGGTTCCCAAGATGAGATGGAAATCTTATTAATCCTAAATAACTGTGCCAGTAATTTCCAGTTGCGGCATTTAGACCTGGCTCTACTTCAACCTTTATTTATTTATTTATTCTCCCCACCCCCCAATGTGTTATTGAATGCTGCTTCACCTCTTTGCTCAGACTTGAGAAGAAAAGCGAACCGTCCATCCATCATTTCTTATTTCTTTCCTTTCGCATTTTTATAGAACGGCAGCGTTGCCCCACCCCATCGCCTTTGCCAGAGGTTCAGGCAGAGCATCAAGGGGATTTAATTAGGTAATGAATGATCCAATTACTTATGCCTTGAAAGAACTTCCAAGCAAGGTCAAGGCAAGATAGCTATAGAGCGGAATTAGGTAGACCCCGGGCGAAATATTAAGAGATGGGGGAGGGGGAGAGGGGAGGGAGGAGAGAGGAGAGAAGAGAGAGAGTGAGATAGGGAGAGAGAGGGAGGGAGGGAGGGAGAGAGAGAGAGAGAGGGAGGGAGGGAGAGAGAGAGAGAGGGAGGGAGGGAGAGAGGAGGGAGGGACGGAGAGAGAGAGGGAGAGAGGGAGAGAGAGAGAGGGAGGGAGGGAGAGAGAGGGAGGGAGGGAGAGAGAGAGGAAGGGAGGGAGGGAGGGAGAGAGAGAGGGAGGGAGGGAGAGAGAGAGAGGAAGGGAGGGAGGGAGAGGGAGGGAGGGAGAGAGAGAGGGAGGGAGGGAGAGGGAGGGAGGGAGAGAGAAAGAGAGAGAGACCGTTATCTCGCCCCGCGCCCCAAACTAGGCACAGAGAGGGCGGACGTCTTCTTTCTGTCACACCCCACGAATTAGGGGGGGTCTCCATCCTGTCTCCTGCCCCAAGAACGAGGCAGGCTGAAGGTCTCCCCTTAGCCGCGCGGAAAGTCTTCAAATAGTCTTCTCCTCCTGACACCAGCCAAAGAGTATAGAGTGCACCATGCGCGCACGGCGCTTTTGTCCCAGTTACTCTGCAGAGACGCGATGGCCAACAAGAGCCAGCTAGCGAGCGAGCGAGAGAGCGGGAGGAGGAGAGGCGGACTTCCCTCCCCCCCCCCGGCGGGCAGCGCTTTCCCAGAGACGGACTGGGACTCGGTTAGCGGCCGAGAAAAAAAGGCTCCCTCAACGGCTCGCCCCATCCCCGGGACCCCGCGCCGTAAAAGAAACCTCCGCTTTCGCGCGCGCTCTCCTTTGGCAAGCTTGGCACCGAACGGCGACAATGCCACAGCCCGGGTCTGGAGAGAAAGCCCAGCAGGCTGCGGGAGGAATTCCACGCCGAAGGACCGGCTGCCGGCCCACCCACTCACACCCACCCACTCCCCCACTCCCCATGCAGCCCTCCCCGCGCGCGTGGGCGCCCCTGCCCGCGCGCGCGCCCAGTCCGCGCAATCCTGGGCGCGGGCGCGGGGCGCTGCTTCTGCCCTGCCACCGCAGGAGGATCGCTTGGGAAGCGGACTCTGGACCGGCTTTGGGATCAACTCCGAGGAAGCGCCTGGGGACTCCTGGCTTCGGGGGAGGGGGGGAGGACGCAGTCCCGCCAGCCTCCGTGGAGAGGGAGGGGCGCTTCCTTTGTCCCCCTTCCTCTCCCCTCCCCTCTTTCCTTCACGCGGCAGCCACACACAAAAGAGAAAGGCAACCCTCGCAAACGGGCTTGGAGAGAAAAAAATCTGGGCAGCCTGGCCCCGGCACGGTTCTGACTCCCGGGTGTGCGTGTGTGTGTGTGTGCGCGCGCGCGCGTGGGAAGGCGCGTACGCGTGTCTGCCCCCTCCCCTTTGTAGCTTTCCAGCGCGCCTGTGTAATTTCTTTTTTGGCTGGGATTTTTTTGCTTTCTTTCTTTCACCTACCCTGTCCTCTCCCCTCCACCCCGCCGCCGCCGCTGCTTCTTGCTTGGTTTAGCACGGCGGCGCCCGTGCCCGTTTTTTTTTTATTGTCAGGAGGCCAAATCCGAGTCCCCTTTGGCTTTGGGCTTGGCTTTTCGAGAGGATGCCCGGGGCGGCCGGCTCTCCCACAGCCCCGGGGATGGCGGCTGAGCTTCCCCTGCAGGCTCTAGCCTCGGTCTCGTCTTTTTCCAAGCGCTGTCCGAGGACTGGCGGCGGGGCTGCCGAATAGCGAAGGGGGACGAGGAATACAGCCACGCGCCGGCAGCCCGGGTGATGTGGCCACCGCTGCTGCCAGCCGCCTCCGGGGATCGGAGAAGCGTCGTCCCGAAGGAGCAGGAGCGGCTGCAAGCGAGGCGTTTGGCTTCCCGTCGCCGGTCTTCTTCCACGGGGAGAGGGGCTCCGGATGGCTGCTGATTGAGGATCTTGGTTTTGGAAAGGGGGGGCAAAAAGCTGGCTTGGCCGAGACCTCGACCCGGATCTTTACCGTCTGAAAGCCGCGACTCCCGTTTGGCGAAGGATCTTTTTTGAAATTATTATTGCTATTATTATTATTATTATTATTTTTACCTTCGGGCGGGCGGGGGGGGGGAAGATCCGGAATCCAGGAAACCGGGAGGGGGCGGGAAATCGCAGGGAAAAAGGAGGAGACCTCGGTGGCGACGGCGGCTGGCGGAAGGTGGAGAGAGCTCGCGCGTTCCAGCTGATTCAGCAGCGGTCGTATGAATGCTCGGCGGCGCTGTAGCTGAAAGGGCGGGAGGGGCGCCGCGCTCTCCGGATCGAAGGGAGGCCAGCCCTTGCGACTACCTGCCGGCCGGCTGCGGCTGCCTCCCCCACCCACCCCCGGCCGTCGGATCTTCCCGCTCCTCTCCCCCCCTCTCCCCTCCCCGCCGCCTCGCTTCCCCGCCGCCCCGCATGCTGCGCCCTCCTCCCCCATGCCGCTGCTCCCCCCCGGGGGAGGGGTAGAAAGGCGCCGAGGAGGATGAGCGAAGGGGTCGCCTCGCCCCCGGGTGCCGCAGCAGCCGCTGCCGAGGCGGGGGCGGCGGCGGCGGCGGGCGGGGTCCCTGCGGGGGGCGATGGAGGGCCCGACGCCGCGGCCCGGGAGGTGCGCTGCGGCGACTGCCTGGTGTGGAACCGGCAGCAGACGTGGCTCTGCGTGGTGCCCCTCTTCATCGGCTTCGTGGGCCTGGGGCTCAGCCTGATGCTGCTCAAGTGGATCGTGGTGGGCTCCGTCCAGGAGTACCTGCCCACCGAGCTGATGGACTCCAAAGGGATCGAGCAGGACCCCTTCTTCCTCTCCAAGCAGCCCACCACGCCGCCCAAGAGCGAGGAGCCCACCGCCTCGCCCGGCACGGACGCGGCCGCCGTCGCCGCCGCCGCCGCCGCCTCCTCTCGGACGCCCAACCGGATCAGCACCCGTCTCACCACCATGACCAGGGCGCCCACCCGCTTCCCGGCCACCCGGGGTCCCATCCGGGCCAGCCCGCCGCGGTCCACCACGCCGCGCCACACGCTGGCGCCCCCGACCGTCCGGGCGACCACCACGGCGGCCGTCGCTGTCCCTTTCAGCACCACGCTCCTGATGGCCCGGCCAGCGCCCGGCACCCTTCGGACTCCGCCTGTGCCGGCCTGGCCCACTGCGGCGTACACTACCTCGTCGTACAAGACTTATCTTCAGGACTCGGCTCCTTCCTGGACCTTATCCCCCTTCCAAGAGGCCAGCACCACCACCACCACCACCCCCCCGCCGGAGACCAACTCCAGCCCCAAATACCGTAAGTGAAAGGCAACTTTTGCCTAAGCTTCCCGTTCTCCCCCTTCTCCTTCTCCTTCTCCTTTGGGTGAGTTCTCGTTGATGAGTTGCTTTGGCTTGGACTGAAAGAGTTCTTCCAGATGGACCTGGCTGCCAGCCCTGCTTGGGGTGGGTGGGTGTGTTGGAGTTGGGAGGGTTGAATTCAGGAGGCTCTTTGGAAGTTCTTCTGTTGCTGGCCATTTCTGTGGCCCTGGTGAAAATGGAGAGGGGATATTTTTATGGTGACCATCCAAGGAAGCGTTCCTTCCCAGGGCAAGGCACAGACGGGGACCGGGCCCTTGAAGCCAGAGAAGACCTGCCAATGATGTGGGTGCTTCTGATCTTAGGGCTGAGCCTTGGACCAGTTTGTTAGGATGGGGAAGTGCAATGGATTGAGACAAGGAAGTCTGACCTTAGCGGTTTGGTGACTTTGGAGTAGAACAGGGAGAAGTTAAGAGAAGAGGTGAAGAAGGGCTTTTGAGTCAGAGTTGTGCTCAAGACTCTTGGACAAAAGGCATGCATGTTCTTCTCAGCTTTCCGAAAAGGTTGGTTTCCTTCCTTCCTTCCTTCCTTCCTCCCTCCCTCCCTCCCTCCCTCCCTCCCTCCTGAAAGCCTTTCCAACATATTATCCTCCCTTTTAAGCCCTACTGTTTTAGATTCATGAGTGTCAGCTCTCACTTGCAGATGCAAACATGCGCCACACACAGCATCTACTATATATGGAACAGTTCTGGGTGGTTTTCTCTTCTTGCTGGGACCTAAATGGAACCTTATTCTATAGGAATGAAGGTAAATAAATGGTGAGGGATTCACACACACCCCTAAAGGGTGGAGTATCTGACATATTGGCATTCCTCGCCAGTGTTGCACATTTTCATTTATGCAGCTCCTCTTTTATCTGAGAAAGAAATTGGAACTGAAACCTTCAAGATCTTGTGAAGGTTATCCAGGACACTCATCTCCTCCACAGATCAGCTTCTGGATGCCACTGTTTCAGTGAGAGTTGGGAAAAGGAGGAGGTGGTGGGAAAGGAGATTCCATATTTATCCCCCCCCCCCCGTATTTCTCACCACCCTTTTCCTTAGTGAGATACCTTAGGAAGCTGGGTTTCTCCACCACTACCTTCCTTCTCACTTTCCAAAATGCTCTCACCCAAGGTTATTTCCTTCCCGCATGGTCCTTTCCCCTTTGGCAGGGCGAGCTGCTGGCTTGGCTTCTTTCAGCCAGCGGGCTTTCTCTTTCTTGCATCCACAGCTTAAAGCTGATCATTTGTAACCTGGGATTACGTTGAAGCCATCCTCATAAGATGCTGTGATGTGAGAACAGAGGCAACAGCAGCAACTGGGCTGGACAGATGTTTCCTCCAGAGGATTCAGCTGGGGAAGGAGAGGGCAGGCAGTACATTCGTGGTCACTGTGTGGGTGTCGAAAGAAGGAACGCATATTCTGTTTCAGAGAAGATGTTCTCTTTGAGAGGGGCTCCTTTTATCTGACTGAGGATAAGGGAGGGGGGAGAGAGCAAGAGCCACTCGAGATGCTGTTTCTTTGGAGGATGAAACCCTGGCTGGTATTTGCTTAATCTTTCCCTCCTCTGGGTCCACCTTGTCTTCTCCCTTTCTTGCACGCAAAGTTCCTTCAGTGCGGAAACCTCTCCAGTGCCCTAATTTTGTGAGGCTTTGAGCCCACAGGACAGCAGGTGGGGCAATGTTCAAAGAATAGACTGGGTGGTGCAAACCGCTGCCCATTTCGGTTCTAATTAAAAACAAATAAATATCTCCAACATCTCTAAGACAGGGCAGACCTGTGATGGTTTTCTAACCTCTGCTGGGGAGTCTTCCGACCTTAGAAACTGCTCAAAATATGAATGTCAGCTGGCAGAAACCTAGTATCTCTTCCCCCCCCAGCTCCTATTCTGTTTCCCACAAAAGGATGCACGCCAATATCATGATCACACCTAGGCGATAAAGGATTCCTCAGATCTGCAAGTAATTTGATCGTCCTGGCTTCGTGAAGATCGCTCTTTCAATTATAGATTGGATCTCAAACTTTCCTCCCCTTCCCTCTGCTTGCCCACCCCAGCTTTAGTAAAGGGAGACAATACAAAGAAGTGCAAATCCATCAGAAAGTGGCCTCGTTGAAGCACATGACAGTTTCTGCATGATCATTAACAGGAGATTAAATAGAATATGAAATTGAAAGAGAGAGAGAGAGAGAGAGAGAGAGAGAGAGAGAGAGAGAGAGAGAGAGAGAGAGAGAGAAACGGAGAAGGAGAGAGAAATTTAGGGCACATGGAATTTCTTCCCTTTCTCTTCCAAAGGTGCATTATTATTATTATGGTTGGTCGTACAGATGTTCAAACTGGATTTGGCATTTTTCTCCATGCACTGAGTCTTTCTCAAGGACCTGGGATACACAGATGTTGCTATTTGATGGTGTTAAAGGAGATGTAAGCTCTTCCAAGTAAAGCTGTCCTTTGCAATTGACAGATGGGGATTTTGTTAACACCCGGTGGTGTTCAAGTGATGCTCCAGATACTTTGGGATTGTATCCATGCTTTCTACGACTAATGGGACCGTCTTTGCTTTTGTTTGCCACAGTCATTCTGTTTCCATTTGCAGGTCTTTGTACTGTGTGATTTTTCTCCAGTTCTTTTTTTTTTTTTCCTTCTCTTCTGCTGTCTCCAGGTACTGCAGTGTCCACTATCCAGACCTTTTTTTTTTTTTTTTTCTTATCGAAAATAGTTAGGCCTGGAGTAATATGTGCTAGGTTGCTGTCTATTTGAATTCTAAGGTCCCAAAGTTGTTTAGCTTCTTTATTTTCTATTACTTGTTTATTTTTATTTATTTATTTATTTATTGGCCCCACCAGCTCTTCCTTGCAGGCAAATAGTCTCTTTTGTAGAGATTCCAATGCACCATTGTTGCTACTTTGTCATGTCACTGTTCGTAGTCAATCTGTGCGAACTTCTTGCAGCAGCTAACTGATATTATTAATGATAATATTTTGATTGTGATATCAGGTAACAGTTTTCTCAGATTAGCAGAGGCTAACTAATAGTCCAGCAATTCCTTTGTAGCCAGTTGCCTTGACCGAATGCATCTTTCATTCCACATTTTGACCCTTGGTGGCTTTTAAAAGACTTTTGTATTAAAGGATAGATACAAGGAAAGAGAGAAGGAAGTGTAGTTGTTGTTGTTTTTTTTTCCCGATAGATTCAATCACTTATTAGAAAGATTTGCTATCCTGCTTTGATCCATGAATTTGTAGAAAACTCAGGTGGTGGAGTGCTCCAGCATATAATAATAATAATATCTATCTAAATTATCAACACTTTAATGAATTTGTTTCTCAAGGGTCTCTAAGTCAAATTATGGAACTTCAAAATGGTGTTTTAGCTGAGAAAGGCTGGTTTATATCCCATGAAACCTTGCCAAGTGTTTTGATGGAGGAAGATGGTTTTTTATGGAGATTTCTCATTGCTTTTTCTCTGACCACTTTTGACAGTGAAGAGACATGTGACAGTCACATGTCACAAACATAACCCCATCCACTGATCCTTAGAGAAAGATCAGGCTTAGCTTCTTATCCTCTTCTCAGTCTAAGTTCGATAATTTCATGGTGCAAGGATGTGCTCTCCATTTGAAACTTTTGGCCATTTGAGTAGTGCAGAAGGAAACGTCCCATGCATAAATGGTTCTAAATAGCCCCAAACTGGATTTGATTTACCGTCATTTAAATGCAATCAAAACTGGATTTCATCTACATGGTTAATGTGGTTCTTCTCCAATGTTTTTTTTTTTTCTTTTTGTCATGCTTTGGAAAAATTCTGGTAACTGCTTTAAGGTTCTCTGTATGAAGTGGAGAAAAGCAATCTGATCCATGATGTACAGGGTGAACATAATCAACCAATGAGCATTAAGGGTGCCTAGCTTTCAGACCACAAATAATGCATTATGTAAACACTTTGGCAGCAACAGTTTCATGGAATTAGACAGTGATCGTTGGAATAGTTCAGCACCTCCCATAGACTTCTGCTTGTTTATAAAGATCTGGAAGAGAAGGATCCCTATGGATTCTTATCTTTGGGGAGCATAATTTGCATAAAACACCAATTAGGGTGCTTGCTGCTCCATTTCTCTGGAATGATACTCTTCTGTTTATTCCCAATAGCCTTGAGTTTCCCCAAAACAAAGAAAGACCTGGCTTTTTCAGTGAGACTTTTGGATTTGATGCATTTGATTTTTGATGTTTTTTGATTTTGATTCTGCAGTCGGAATATATTCTGACATTTCGATTAAGGATTTTGTGTCTTGCTTTGACCTTATTGCTGTGTGGGGTCTGCAGCTTGCTCCATGTGGGTTGCGGTGGCAAATAAGGGCGGTAAAATAAATAAATATGTAACAGATGCAGCTGTAGTAAATCTAAATGCAGTGCAAGCCCAACTGTTCATCAGAGTTCACGTATCATATATTGGCTTCATCAGATCAGTATCGTGGACAGGTGTAGCAAAAAAACCCGCGACGTTGGCACAGTTCCTTTCCACTAGTCCTAATTTTGCAGCCTCATGCAGAAAACCACGTTCTGTTTTGACCTTTGCAGTGCAGTTTAGTGGGCATAATGACCTTGGATGGAAATGAACAGCAGGACTTTTGCGATAAGTGCTTTTCAGGCACAGCCATCCTTTTCAGCAGCAACAATTTTGGTGTTTTAGCTCCAGTAGTTCCAGTTTACAGCTTGGAGGAGAAATGGGATAGGACAGAGAACAGTAGCAGAAATCAACGTCTTTGTATCAGCAGAGGAACTCAGAGGATGGGATTTGAAACACTGATGTAAAAAGAGAGTATTTAGATCTTTTGTCTTTATTTTACAGCAACTAATAAAAACTGAAGGGTTCCCCCCCCAAAAAAAGGAAGGAAGCATCATTCAGTTCCATAGATTAATTGGTAGGTCATTTCATTGCTGATTAAGAATTGATTATTGGATT